TTTTTAGCGCCTTGGAGGTGCTATGGTACCATGACGTGCAAGCATAGTCATAGTACCCTTGAATGAGTGCTCCTGCCAGAGTTTTCAGGGTGTTTTTGTTTACCAGAGAGGAGATCCGGTATAGGAATCTAGTTCTTTGATTGACTTTTTTTATTACATTTTTTATTAATTGGCTCACATTAAAGGTGGGGGTAGGTACGTTTGAGAAACCGGCTCGAGATACATTTTTTGTTATATTCCATGGAATGCTCTTAACATCCCGATAGCAATGAATATCTGAAGTGCTTTGACAACAAATCCATAAAAGAACTTCATCTGTGGAAGCCGTAATACTGTAAAAAGTACAACCAATCCGTTTAGCCGGATTGCCGCCCTGTCTGTCAGCCTTCCATTTCGTGCACGCACAAATGTATCTCGTGCCGTCATTGGGCGTGCCGTCATTGGGCGTGCATTGCAGCAGTACTTCAATGACTCGCCAGCAACAGGCGGCCACTTTCACCAGTGAAAGTGGCCGCCTGACGTCATGTGTGTTCATGTGTGTTGGAGGAGGTGCTCTGTAAGGAAGTCTGAAGGAAGGGGCGGATTCTTTTCGGCTGTGTACTTTCAAATTGTAGTGCACTCGAGCCGGTTTCTGAAACTTACCTACCCCACCTTTAAGCAACCTTTTGATCACATACTGTTCATCTTTCCAAACTTTACAGCACATCCCCCTGCTGAGTGAGAACCTCAGGCAGGCACTTCAACACAGTCAGAGACCTTATTCTCATACACGCTGTGACTCTGGGTTCACTCAATTATTAAGTAACCTCACATTCAGCTTACTCTCCTCTTTGTTTTAAGTCAAGCTGGTCTAATGCTTATGGGGCGGCCTTTGAAGCAAAAAAGCTTTTTTCTTTGTCGCTGTTTGATGTGCGTGCAGCGCCTGCGGACAAATCATTAGCTTCATTCTCTCCTCTCTTTGTGAAGTGATTGCACAACTATTTTTGTACAATCATAAACTCGCTTACTTTTGTCTCTTCTGAGGATGTTGCAACAATGCAGTTGTCAGGTGTTGATTTGGGTTAAAGAGGACTGGACATTACGATGTTTGAGGCGTTGCGTGTGTATCGTTAATTAGTCTCTGTATTGTTGTATTGTTGGGGGGCTGTGGCGCAGTGGTTAGTGCGCTAGTGGTGTTCGGATCAGGGGAGCACAGGCTCAAACCCAATCCACTCCACTTTATTTATATAGCACAGTTTAAAAACAGAGGGTTTGCCAAAGTGCTTCACAATGAACATAACATTATAATAAAATATAATATTACACGAATAGATAAAAAGCACACATAAGAAAAGATAAAAAAGCACACGTAAGAATAAATACAAGGCACATAAAGGCTATGGACAGACAGTAAAAGCATACAAATAGGTATGACATAGACTGACTGGTAAGCGAGGGAAAAGAGGTGGGTTTTATGCGGGACTTAAAAGCTTCAAGAGTGGGCGACAATTTAACATGAGGGGGCAGGTCGTTCCAATTATATTCACTTACATGACATTACATGTTACTTGCCAAACCCCACTGCAGTCAGCATGTCGTTGTGTCCCTGAGACACTTCACCCCAAACTGCTCCTGTGGGGATCGTCCACAGTATTGAGAATGTAAGTCGCTTTGGATAAAAGCGTCTAACAAGTAACATGTAATGTCATGTAAGTGAATATAATTTGTACTTCTTGGAAATGAATCTAATGTAGAAAATCTACCCAGAAATAAATGGCATTTTATCTAAATATGCAGATTGAAAAGGAACTTGGACTAATTTAAGATATTGTTATACTAATGATGTTCCACAGTTGTCTTGATTCCCAATGTTCTGAGACCGGAGGAACATGGTTCCTTAAATACTCCCGACTTGCAGTTTAATGATTCACACTTTTGTTAAAGCAATGCCTTTAATGGATGAGGAACATTTTATTAAAACTAACTCTACTTTATGTACACTTCATACTCATATTATAAAAGATCTAAGTATGTAGGACTGAACTGCATTCTTTTACAACTATTTAGTATAGTGACCTCTGGTGAAATCAGTTAGGTTTTAATTATCTCGTTATTTTGTCCCTCTGTATTACATTACTTTTCTTAATAATATGTTACATGAACCCTTAACTACACAAAAAGAGTGCAGTCATGGAAGATAATGTATTCTCTGTTATCTATGAAAGTGCGAATAGTTACAAATGAGTGCCTTTTAAGGTCCTCCATCTGGGAACTATATATTCAGAAGAGCAGATTGGAATGAAAGTAAAAGAGAGTAATGAATGGGATGATTGACATGAAGAGGAGTCCATGTGGTCCGCCTAGTTAGAGCTAATCCCCCTCACTTTCAGACACTTCACTAGGGATGGGAATTTGAAAGCAAATGAATATTCGACCCCCAAAAAAACGGTTAACCGAAATGTACATATCCTATAAAAAAAATGTTGACAACAAAATAAATACATGTTCAAAAAAGTATAGAAACCAAGTCGAGTTTGTCAAATGTATTGAACTGGTGATCACAGTTTGAAAGGTTGACAGCTACAGGCCTACAGCTTTCATGCTTAAAACATAACTTGGTTTTTAATTGAAAGAGGGATCAAACACATAACGGGTTAGGGTAACGTAACCCATGACAACAGAGATCAACAACCTGTAACAGGGCCTATCACAGAATGCAGATATTCAATACTCATTCTTGTTTCAGAATATGAGCATGTCTACTCAGGGGAGAGGCGGGTGCGGAGGCGATTCACAACCAGGCCAGCTGTAGAGAAGACCCTCTCAGCTGGAATGTGGGCATAAGATGAGGTTTGAGTCTGCGTGATCTGCGTGTAGGGAGGGGCAGCAGCCATATCATTAGCTAGAGCTAGATCTGATGGACTTGGACATAAACGCGAGTGAAGTAGAACCGGACAGAGAGAGAGAGAGATCAGCACCTGCAGCTCTGCCCGCTGTGAGGGACCGGTGAGCGGAGCAAAACACACCTTTAGACACATTTAGCTATGGCACTGTCGTATGCATTGAATTATTCCATTTACTTATAAAATTCTCATATTCGAATACCTGAATAATTTTGAATATTCGATGAATCGTTCCCATCCCTACTCTACACTGACTACAAGCAAACCAGATAATAAGATAAAGATGGCTAACAACTATATTCACTGTTCATAGCAGCTAGAGTTGAGAGTGCTGTGCTCAAGAGACTACAAATAAACAAGGCTGCCGCGTGTCTCTGTTTATGACGGCGCCGCTGAGACATAAACAGGTGAACACTTTCCCAAAAGAGATAAAAGTAAAGCAGTGTCTTCTCTGTGAAGTATGACAAACTGTGAACTCAATAAAAGCCACATGTCCTGACCCGTAGGGGAGAAATGTTTTACTGTTTAATTTGCTGTAGATTGCGAGAACACAGTGACAGATAATAGCGAATGAATAATAGAGAGCCCCAGGTGTAAATCTCCTGAGGCGAGTTCGCCCTTTTATATTAGACACGATCCAACAGCTCCACTCTCAGGGTACAACAAGCTTATTCCCAGTCAACGATGCATAAATAAATGTAACTGTTAATGGGAAAACTGACACGCACAGCCCTGCCATTTAGACCTGTTGAAGCTCACCCAATGGTTTTGTTACTTTCCTTTCCTAAATTCCTCAAACCAAACTTCCATATAATATATTAGACATAAGCATTTAAGGTATTTATTTGTGACATTATGTTTATCTTTACCAGTCTAACATTACAATGCAATAAGTGAAAAATGATTACTTATTTAGGGGTCTGGTGATAAATATTGAACACTGATTGTCTCATGGGTAAAGTGAATGCCCCTCGTTAGATATTCTACTGAACTTCCTGGTCAGACCACTTGATGTCAGTGTTGGCTAAGTATGATTTCAGCAAGTGAATCCCTTTCAGTTCCAAGAGAGCACAAAGAAATAGCATTATATAATTGAAGCATATGTCTCACCAACTATGATTTAACCTTTAAATAATAATATCTTAAAAGGGCAAATATCCTGGGCTACATAGATCGATTCTGCCGGGTCAATGGGCGCTAGAAGAACAACGTATGTTGAAAATACCAGAGAAAATCTAGAAGGCATAGTATAGTATCTAAAATATCAGAAAACATGGGATTATGTCGACAATATCTGGAAGAAACACTCTAGTATAATAATAATAATTCCTTACATTTATTATAGCGCTTTTCCAGATGCTCAAAGCGCTTTACAAATACACATTACACATATCATACATGCAATGGTCACCACTGTGTATGTCGAAAATATGATTATAAACAGCATAGTATAGTACATCGAAATAGTCGGAAAGTGTGTTGAATTTGTTTTGACTTTTTCAACATATACTATATATATTACTACGCAATTTCATCTGATTTTTTCGTCACCTTTTTCGACATACGATATTATGCTTTTTATGACAAGATATCATGCCTTATTTCGACAATGTGCTATGTCGTTTTTTTTACTTTTTTCGACATAGTATATTATGTTGTTTTTGTCATTTTTAAGGACATACTACTACGCCTGGTTTCTACACTATACTGCGCCTTATTTCTTCATAAAATACCATGTTTTTTCTTTCTGCATTTTTTCAACATGGTATACTTACCTTTCGGTCATTTAAGGGAGGGATGACCCTTATCTTCATATGATATCATGCCCTAGTTTGACATACTATACTATGTCTTATTTCGACATGTCTTATGTCGTCCTTTTTTGAATTTGAGTTATTTGGCTGGGAACGGCTTGGCCTCTGAATACCAGACATGAATAAATGCTCATGATCTTGATATAAAGTGTCTTAATTAATGTTCAAATACCCGGCGGTGTGCATTACAAAGTTAACTAGTGACACCAGAACCAAATATCTAATTCTACCCACTCAATAATTTACCGAAGCAGCCACTAACACCCTCATTAATGCAGAATCCAATCATGTGTCTCCTCTCTAGATGACCAGGTCCTGCAGTTTGGGAAGCTGGTGAGCACCTCCAACACCTACGAACCTGTTGCCCCTGGAAACCCCAGGAAGCCTGTAACCGTGACAACAGACCAGCCTCTGCTCTGGAGTATGGGTATATGTAAGGAGGAGGAATGACAACAGACAGGAAATATCCTAACTCTCAAAGAATGAAGGAAAAAGTTGAAACGCTACTATGTGGCCAAAAACCTGTTGATTGATATCTGGTTAGCTTTGTTGGTTTATAAGAACATTCCAAACTAACCAAAGAAAGATTTTTTAATACCGTGTCTGCCATCTCTGCCAAGGATATTTAATATTTTAACTGGTTTTATGCAACACATGGCTATGATTTTCACTGTGCAGGCTGAAATTCAAAAGCCTAAAGAATGTGCCTTTTTAAATAAGTGCCACTGTTCCCACTTGTCTGCTATGAAAAATACTGTGTGCCTTGTGATGACGATTCAATTGTATTTCTGAATGTCAGGCAAGGTTCAAACCAAACTGGTGTAAACATGCTGTAGTGATATCAAGGCTATTGAAAAAAGACTGTTGGAAAGCATTCAGTTGTGGTTTCCATATTTTTTATTTACACATTGAAATATAAATGTCGTGCACCGAATGTAAAAATGTCATCCCTTCAGTCCCCGATCACACACTAACACCTTGCATTGCATCGCCATCTTCTGTCCCCAGGAGTTGAAGTTTGAGTTTGTTCTTGTCCAGGATTTAACCTCCACTAGAGGGGAAACAAGAGAAAGGGTGTTAGTGATGAGAGAAAGCTACAGGTACACAAACAAACATGTCACTGTAATATTCAGTTTGAAAGAGCAATGAATAAATAACAACTGCTCTGAGAAAGACAATCAATGCAAGTCTTGTGTACATGAGCAGACCCACCTTGATTCATCGCTGCACTAACTATTTCCTTTCAAAAACAGACAATCCTACTTCTCGTATGATATTGTAGAGACTTTTACAAGCCTTAATTAATGTTTTAACATACTGCACAAAATAAAATCACGTGAGTTTTTCCCTTTGTGTTGGTTGGTCTATTATGCAATAAAACAAAGTGTTTGTTCAAAAAGAAAATTCCAATCTGAATTTAAAAAATACACAATGTTGATCGTACTAATGAGTTCGCCACTTGAACAGTGGTTCGAAATAATGTCAGCATTTCCAGCTCTGGAATAAAAGTGATATTTAAAGTGTATTTATTTATACACAATGAATACAGTGTTACTATGAAAAAAACAGTATTCTTCTTTCATGCCACCATGGTGAATATAGAAAATAAAAAACTCAGAAGTCTTGATGAAGTAAAGTAGTAACTTGACTACAGCAGATCTTGCTTCATACCACTTGGAGTATACTTGGAGTCTAATTGAACCGAGTCAGTAGCAAACACAAGTGTGAGATTGTTAAGATAGTTAGGTTTTAGCAAATGAGACATGGGGTACAATCTAAATATAGCGCCCCGTGTCTTTTCCTAACCTTTGTCCTTGACCTCTATGAAAAAACATAACCACATAAACCCTTATTCATCAAGACTCCCTTGCTGTTTGATTCTAGTCTAAAACCAGTTCATAATTGTAAAAGATAGGACATAAAATAAACATGCTTTACTATATGAGGGCTGGACAGACATTTAAAAGCCTTTTCGTTAATTCTTCCAATGCTAATTTGACTGATTTAAACATTTTCAGTGAGTAGATAGAGAATAAGCATGTCATCAAACGCTAAGGAGGTAGTGTCATCACAAAGTCCCTCTCTCTCTAAAGGGCCATCTCTGATATCACAGGGATCAAGTGTTTGGAAAAAGCTTCCCTGAACCACAATCTTTCATCAAGGCAAATGCATTTCTGTTGGAACATCAGTCAAAATACCCACTAATATAAAAAGATGACCGTCCATATAAGTAAAGTGTTACTGTTACTTACACAATGATGTTGTTGATGGGGATGTGGATGAGTTTGACGAAGAAACCAATGAAGCCCATGATGGCGAACCCAATCGCTGTGGCCATGGCAATCTTCTGGAATTCTGAAGGAAGCACAATTCACAGACGTAAGACAAAGAGCTTTTAATAACAATGGAAATCAAACGTAACTCATAAGAATCCACGGTGACACAAATGTTACATGACAGTTCAATGTTCTGGAAAGTTCCTTATACAGCTTCAGCCTTTATTTGATCTCATGAAGTCCATAAGTGACACACATTGAACAGTCTGGTGGGTCATGTGACTTTGTGTTCCCATAACAACATGTCCATGTGACAGAGCTTGTTTTTTGTCCCTAAAGGTAAGAGTGTAACACATGACCGTCAATGTGACACATATGTCACTTTTCAGATCTCTGACACTAGGGGGGGGGGGGTTACTTGTCAGAAATGTGTTCTATATGGTCTATTAAGTCTAGATGATGTGAGACCGGGTTGTTATGGGTTAAAATAATACAATTAAAAGGAAAAACATACAGTAATCATATTAAAAGTATGGCAAAAAGCATAGTATGTAGATTAGATCTGAGGTTATAGTGTGTACATAATGTTTCAACGTATAGTATAAACGTTTTAAAAAAGTCGTATACTATGTAGAAGTAGTAATAGTATTGTTAGTGGGGAAAAAGTATGTACTGATCACATAGTACAAGTATGTGAGAAAAAGCTATGGTGTGTTAAATCAGAACAATCGTAGGAAACTAAGTTATAGTGTAGTATTGCAAGATATTTCAAAGTATTGCATGTTACAAAACAAAGCGATAGCATGTCGGGAAAGTAATGGTATAGTATGTGAAAAAGGCATATTATACGTCAGAAATCATAGTATAGTATGTAGAAAAGTGAGAGTCAAGTATGTTAAAATGTCTTCAGCTAAGGATGATGTGGATCAACTGAAGCTCAATTGATAACGTTTCGACAGAGATGCCAACACAACAGAGACTGGGCCAAATGGATTTAAACCAAATATGATCTTACCTTTTCTATCGGGTTTCGTGCATCTCTTTACGAGCCTTATGGAGTCTTTGACGAACTGCCGGCTGGGCTCCACAAACTGCATAACCTGATCCATGATGTTCAAGCTGCAGACAGAATGAAACCTGATTTAGTGTCAAATCTCGGACTGCTGCTCTGAGTGATGACGTTGACTTCAGAAGCCTGCGTCTATCATGACTCCCACAACGGACTTACTGTAAAACACAATACTGCAAATGTCTTTTTAAGCGTCAAATATCAACCACTATGTTGACAATGGTGTGTTCTTGTCGTTAAAAACATATTTTGAAGTCAGTAAGCTAACCGTCAGCTGTGTTAGGTAACATGCTAGCTAACGTTAACGTAAGAAAAGCTAACCTGTCGACGTTACGCTAGTTTAGCTGGAAATACAATACAAAAACGAATACAAGTCGAAATAAATACCAAACCAGTATTTTAAGTAAAATATATAGTAATAGTTGATAGAATATCGCTCAGTTTACCGGTCTGTGAGGTCGTGTTAGAGGAGAAGACAGTCGGAGGAATGAGGACACGTAGCTTCTGGGAAGCTTGAGATTAGTGAAGGGCTGACGTAGCCTTTACATGCGCGCATGCGCGGTATCTTCCCTCGTCATCACTGCCGGTTCTTTTGGGCTTGAGTTTCTGACCATACAGCCACCTATAGGCCGGGAGGTTTACATACACAATAAAGCAGCATGGGTTAAAATATTTGTCTTACCGTCGTACAGTGGTGGAAAGTAACTAGGTACATTTACTAGAGTACTCTTCTAAGTACAATTTTTAGGGACTTGTAATATTTTTTATATTTTGATTGTATGCAACTTTGTAATTGTACTCCACTACATGTATGTATTACCTTTAGTTACTTACAATATGATCAGCATCAAGTGTACTGAAGTGGAAAAGTTCATGACATAAAATAAATAACCCATTTCAGAATAATATGTATCTCTGGATATAAGATGCACCTTTATTGATCCTTATCAGGGAAGTTCAGTTGTTGCATGACAACTCCAAAAAGAAATACACATGGCCAATGTAACAGAAGCCAATAATAGGAGGTACATAAACTAGAATAAAAGCAGAAAACGTTACAATTTTAAAGATATGACATGGAAGAGAGGACAGCTTGTTGTTTAGTTAGCGTGATTGTATCTAAATCAGAATATTCACATTGCTCTGAGGGAGCATTGGTCCTAGACTCCTGCTATTAACTCCACTAGCTCATGTCACATTCCTTAAGTCTTAACTACTCTGTCATGTGATTTGGATTAAGATACTGTTTCTAAATACAATTGATCTTTGGATTTTTTATTCTATGTAACAAGTCCTACATTTGCAGACACAGTATCTTTGTGACCCTTCGACTGCAGGATTCCAACAAATTTACATGTGTCCTTGAAATGAGTCATATTGAAATGTAGTCATCTGTTTGAGTGACATCGCTCAGACTTTAAGACCCTTCGTTCCCTCCTCATTATTAATACAGTGAATTTACCAAATCTCTCTGAACTCTCTCCTCCAGTGTCACGTTACGTTTTACCTAACAGCTTGGAAAATGTTAACATTAATACATTCACTCTGAACTCAAGCACACTTACTTAAACATATGGATTTATGCTCTGCATGTACAATACATGAGAAAACATGCCTTTTACATAAAATGCACACACTTTGAATCCTGTTAAGTGTCAATGGTTTAAAAATGTTCTAAATTGAACATATTGTCACACGCTCAGCTAAAAGGAAGGCATCTGAAACAGCAGATAATGTGATACACAGCTGTTTAATGAAACAGTTAAATGAACAATTTTAGATCAATGGATTGTATTTGACTGATTAATAAATATACTTCAGAAACAACAGAACCCAGTTATTATTAAAGGTCACGAATTGCTTTAAAGATTAACCACAACATCTTTTCAATAAAATGTATTTTTTAAAAGAAGGAAGCCAACATGTGTTTTGATTCATATTTAGAACATGGGGTAGTTTTCCACCTCCACCTCTTCTTGGTGAAATTAGTATAACAACAACAAACACACACAAATGATCCTAAGAATAACCAGAACTTTGTTTCTCACTTGCAAATATAAAGACATTTCCATCCAAAGAAAGATCATGCACTTCTTTTAAAGAAGCTTTACAGGAAATAACGCCATCTGCACTCAAAAGTGACTTTGCAAAGAACGCCCATGAGGAATGTTGAATAATTACAACATGACTAAAATGTCCGTTTAATTTTTAGATATCTTACAAATAAAGGAACTCTTGGAAGTGACTAAACGACTTTTGGACGGTTCTGTACTTTGAGTCATAAAATAACCCTGTTTCACAACAGTAAGATTAATATCTCTATAAAAAAGTGTGTAAAAGTGTTCTTTAAAATATGATGTATAGCACACACTGGCACAGTTAATATGCTCCTGTTCACTGCCAGGTGATGCCGAGCAGGTTGCAGCTTATCTCCCACAGTTTCTGGGCCGTCTCATCATCAGAAGCCGCTCTAGAGCACCTTGCCGGAGCGCAGTCACTGTCAGGAGCAGAAAATGAACATTACACACAAAATAAAGTAGACCCTCAGCTGCCTACATGATTACTTTCCAGTTAGTCAGCAGGTAGTAATACTAAGCCGCATGAGGCACTCTGAAAGCTCTTGTATAACCAATAGTACCTGAAGTAGCCTCCACTCTGGCTCTCCAGGCCCGACTCCACAGCGCAGAAGATGGTGGTCTGCGCCCCCTCCAGGGTTGTTTTTGTGAAAATACTGAAGATCTTCACTGCCACCTGGATGCACTGGTGCTGGTGCCTCCACAGGTCAGACTGCACCACCCCCGGGTGCAGAGAGAACACGCTCACCCCTGTACCTGCAACACGAGAACCAGCACCCACACAGTCACCTACACACATACAGCACTGTACTATTTATACATACAAAACTCTAACATCTTGATATTCTGCTATGATTTTCATACAACTAACACATGTCTGTGCAGAATATGCATCTTTTTAACAGTTGTATCAATGACTGAGCAATGTAATATGTATTTTATTTGTAATGTTCTTTCTTTTAAATGGCTTTTTGTTTTAAATCCAAATGGTCTTGTGTGACAGCTTTCTTCCAGATGTAGACAGTTACAATTAGCCTGCAGTGTTGTCACAAGACGGTATTTTCTTTTAGTTCTTGACCATTTATCAAAAAGGAAAAATGAACAGACGGAGGCAACGTGATGGCTCATTTAAAATGAAAGACAGATTTTCATATAATTTAATTGCTGGACTTTCCAAGAGAAAAGATAAAGTAGAACGAACACTTTGGCAAGCGTTCTAATCCAGAAGTAAGGGCAAGTTTGGACATGCTTACATAAGTCTATTGTTCAGTATGAGTGAATAAAAAGCTTTTTTGATATGCCTTTCTTAGCAACTACAAAGGCTATGATTATCTAAGTGCACTATAAAATACATTCATCCTTCAAGACCAGACATTAATACTTGAACCTCCTTAATGCGATCACATAATCCTGTGTATCCTTATATCATGGCTACAGCATAAATGTGTGAATCATATGTTCTTACTGATGTGCATCATCTCACCTCACCTTGTAACTGTTTGGCAAGCGAGCGTGCAAACATGACGTTAGCCAGCTTGCTCTGCCCGTAGGCCTTCATGGTGTCGTAACTCCTCTCGCTGTTAATGTCATCGAGTCGCAGCCCGGTCCAGGTGTGGGCGACCGACGCCACGACCACGATGCGGGCGGCGGCTGAGCGCTTGATGAGGTCCAGCAGCAGGTAAGTCAACAGGAAGTGACCTGGGTAAAGCCATGAGACACATGCATTCAGGCTATTGTCTCACGTTGTATAAATCCTTACAACAAACTGTGATGGATTTCACTATCACGATGAAACGCTCTGATCCGGTACACTTTATTTTACTGGGAAACGCAGGGATATCAATGAGAGATTGAAGGGTTTAAGATCGTAAACACAACCTAAGGTGTTGCAGATTTACCATGCCGCATTCAGCTCGGAAAATCCACCTCATTAATTCCCCGGTGCCTTTCATCCCCTCAACAAACGAGGTTTTTTGTTCTCATGTTCAAAAATAATGCAATTATATTTGGTTTTTAGTGGTTTTAAATGTGAGTGCTGTAGTCCTCTTTAACATGTTTTTATCATTCCAACTCGAGCATGCTTTTCCGGACCAGCATCTCCTCGTCTATTGTTTACAGAGGCTCCTGTGATTTCTTTCATAGCAAAATGCATTGAACTCAAATGTTGCTGTTGGCTTAACTAGGTTCTTTTTAAATCACACAATAACACCATTTCACTTACAACACAGTCAAACAACTGCATTGAATGAAGTACAGTACATATGGTCTGTCCAAATTCTGCTGCAACAGTTCAAATTATTCAATGTACTCGGGGCAAAAAACGTATGAAGTTTCACAATGGTATTCCAGATCACAGATGTTCCCAGAGGAATGAATGAACTTCCAGTTGACCTGCATATGTATACAAAGCTATGTGGAAACAAGGCATTCTTGTTCTGTTTTAAAATGGTGATGTGTGCCTTGTTAAAGCACTGTGAGCTGCTTTACTGTACACACATAGCTTTATTATTATATCGCTGGTGCGTCCCTTGTGCAAAAAAATAGTTTTGAGGTTTACAATGTTCTTTATGCATATGTTTTTTTTATACATCTTCAATATTCTTTATGCATTACACTGCACTGATGTTCAGGTTTACAGAACTTTTGCTATCATGATATTGAGGACCATGTCTCTTTCTTCCTCTCTGGGGATCTTTGTCTCTCCTTGTGCATCTCTCTTTATTTCAACCTCTTACAATCACAACCCCCTATGAAGTGCTAACACAATGGTGGCATTGCTGCAGTGGTTGCTTGTCATAGTAAACATAAAGTACGTTGTTCATAATAAGGTCATGATTCTAGTTTATGGACCACACTTGGATACCCTAACGTCAAGTTGACGTCATCCCAGGTACATTTAATGTGGCCAACAATGAACTGTATGCAAACGGAAATACAAAGGAATATTTGCAAAAGCTGTCCTTCTGTTCAGGATGCACATACACAATACTGATGCCCTGAGTGTGCTCATTTGAACTCTGTATAGGAAACGTAAAGGTCCTGTGGGATGTGGTTTTTGCTTTCCTGACTATTGTCCTGATGTCTGTTTCCTGTTTTACGTTGACCTAAGGCAGAGTTTATCGTTATTTCAAAAATGTGAATGTATAGGTATGTGTTTTTCTCTCTGTGTGCGTGTGTGTGTGTGTGTGTGTGTGTGTGTGTGTGTGTGTGTGTGTGTGTTTTGCATATGTGTGTGGGTGATCATATTCGAGCACAGACTGTTCTTCACCATCTCAGGCTGTGACAAAAATACCACGGTGGATAGGATACTTTGGAGGGAAGCCATGGTTCAAAACGGGAAAGAAACACTGACAGCTTGAAGATAACAGTGACTGGTTCAGTTTCCTGGCTGACATGTTGGACAGCTTGGTTTTACATGTGTACACCAACTATTATGTAATACAATATTTGTACCATCTTCAAAAAGGAAAATCCAGCCTGTGATCTTATTATGAAATCCCTCAAACACATGCCACATGTTGTTGTCATGTGCATTAGCATGACATTTATATTCCAGGTAGATGCCACCATTTCTAGAATGACTTACCCAAATGATTGACGCCTAACTGCATTTCGAACCCGTCAGCAGTCTTGGAGTAGGGACACATCATGACGCCTGCATTATTTATCAGGATATTCACTTGTTTCTCCTCTGAAAAGATCATCCCACACAAACACAATAATATAAGGAGTTATTCGGCAAAAAAGAGGCAGAAATCCAATAAATGGACTGCATTTATAGCACTTTTACATATGGACAGGAGAAAGTAGGGATTGAACCACAAACTGTTCGATATATGAAGACATTAATGTTAAGTGTCATACCTTTGTTGATGATTTCAGCAAACGCTCGGATGGACTTGGTGTCAGAGAGATCCAGTTTTCTGATGACCACATTCTCATTCCCCGTGTCTTCCATGATGTCCGTCCTGGCCTCCTCTGCCCTCTCTAGGTCCCTGCAAGCCATGACGATACGTGCACCTAAAAAAACAGGGGCCAAAGGTCATAACCTACAGTATGATAATAATATCAAGTTCTCTCCAGCCCATGCCATCAACATCCCACAGTCTGAATAAACACAGCTCAGGTTAACGAGGAACTTTAAAATTCCCAGAGCTACAACTTGTTTATTTGTGCATCAGCGCTCACATGTTCTTGTAGAAAACCCACATTTAGAAAGTGCAATGATGGGTAGAGCATTTCAATATGAACTCTGGCCTTACTCGAGGCTTTCTCTTTGTGCTGCATATCTTATACCTCAGGAAAAACCCCAAGACAGAGTACAAATACTAATTGCTGAATATAAACTTTACAGTGCTATATTAAGGCTCCAAAGTTTCCATTCTCATTGGCAGGCACACACAGCTACCTACGTCAATCAAGGAGGAAGTGGGTAAATCTCTCGGTGTACTTCCGATCATCCCCTACTGTTCTCTAACCTCTCATTTAGCATCTCATTTAGCCGCATAAACACAAGAGCCTCTCAACTGTGACATTCTCATTCGCCTCTGACGCAGATTATTATGCATCCTCTTAATGAGCCCAAAATAGGGACACAGACACACACTCTCTCTAACACACAAACGTGCACACACAAACTAGCAAATAGATAGACAACTACCCCCACAACACACACACACAAAATAGATGCTATGCCCACCAATTACGGAATAGGAGAGCCATTAATCAGTTGGAGCGTAGCGTCTGCATCCCATCAGAGTCTCTTTGTTTCCCCGCCGCTGTTCCCATGTGGGAAAATAACAATCGTTCCCACATTTCCCGGTAGCCAAGTTCACTCAATTAAATAAAATAGGGAATAAACAGAGATAATGGAAGGTTATGCTGAGTCAAGTTAAAGACCCTCCAACAGATGCATGCATAAATAATGTCAGTATGTAAATAAGGACAAGAGGAAAATCATATTTAAATCTGATCATGCTCTGCATATTCAGATTCCACACTACTTAACTTTGTCAACATTGTAAATTAATGTTATACCGAACCAATACATTATTAAAAAAAGGTTAAGTTTCAGTTTGGTTGCCCTGATACGTCGCCCACAGGAACCGCCTTCTGTTATGAATCACTGCAAATCGAATCATTTTGGCATCGTGTCATTACATAATCACATTTACTGAAATGGGAGACTGTTATTCGACAGGAGAATTCTCCAGAAGCGAGACCAGAGTGTTATTGTTTTCCTCTGGTGGTAATGATTCTTTTTGTCCTGTCTTTCCTTTGTCACCATTCATTTATCATGTTGCTCTGCAAATATACTCATTTCTATTAATCTATAAGATAGATTAATGGACAGAATCATGATTTCTAGTTGCCCTTTTGATCTACAAAACACCCACATGCATGCACTTCAAGGTAGATGCCATGCTGAGACTCATTTAAAGTTCACCCTCCAATCTCTCTCTGTTTCCTGTCTGGCTCAGAGGGCAGCAGACCCTCACAATGCTCCCTCTGTCTCCTTGATGCATCATCTGCCTTCCATCACTGCCAGTGGTCTTTCACTTGGATTGGTGTTAAGCAAAAAGCTCTCTTTTGGCATCTCCTTTTCTTCTGCCCTGTGTTTTCGTCTCAGAATGAGTCAAAGGTAACCCGAGGCTTCTGAGAGTCCGACCAAAACGTATTCAGCATGAGCACATTGCACAGGAACACAAGTGGGATTACGCTTCTATAGTGTAGTCAGGACAAAAGATCACAATGTGTAGCTAAGACCACCCAAAGCATTAGAGGTGCTTATCTCCAGGGAACAAAAGTGGAATGTGTAGGCCGAGTCACAGTTTGAAAGTTAGAGAAGAGGCTGCAGGTTGAGGCTGCAGGTACACACACACACCACACACACACACACACACACACACACACACACACACACACACACACACACACACACACACACACACACACACACACACACACACACACACACACACACACACACACACACACACACACACACACACACACACACACACACACACACACACACACACACACACACACACACACACACACACACACACACACACACACACACACACACACACACACACACACACACACACACACACACACACACACACACACACACACACACACACACACACACACACACACACACACACACACACACACACACACACACACACACACACACACACACACACACACACTTTTCAGCAGGGAGTACCTCTTCTGGCCAGGTCCCTCGCCGTTTCCTTTCCAATGCCAGTGTTGGCTCCGGTGATGATGGCGGTTTTCCCATCTAACCTCTCTTCAGAGGACCAGCGGTAACAGCACTCATGTCTGGACCAATCATAGGACAACACACATCAATCAAAACAGTTGCTCCCTTCAAGATTAGTATTTAAATGTGCAATCCCCCCCTGTTTTTGCTGACTGTAATATGCTTTGTTTATTTACACACATTCATTCAGAAACAAGATTCTTTGAGGAATTATTTTTAGAGAAGAATCAACTTTGCAAAACAGAAATCATCAATGTGGGATACACATCGATGATTTCAGTGACTTTTAAACACATGTTGACATTTCTGTTACATGTAAGCACTTGTATTTAGGCATGTTTGCTGTATCCTGTAATAGGTCCTGTATTATTATCTTCTTTGTATGTGATAATGACATGCACCTGGCTATTTTCGGTAAGAATAACAGAAATTCTTTAGTTTGTATCAACAATCAAAAACAATCAGAGTGGTTCATTCAACGGATCATTTACCAAATAAATGAAGTCGTACATATGATTAACAAGCAAAGAAAAACGGTCTGGATCGACGCAGAATACACATTTGAACACAGGTCTCTTTACTGCTGGCACGGTGCAACGTAATCTCCCTAAAATTACTAACAGTCCCGTTAATAATAGAGCCACCGTTTTACCGTGTGTTACCGGCTGTGTGTATTTTCCTACCTGCATTTCATTGTTCCTCCGGAGCAACAGATTCACCTCAGGAAACCACTTTATCCAGACTGAACCACCTCCTCTAGTGCTCCCACACTTCGTGCCTGCCATCCCCACCCCGCCGCGGTTTGTTTCGTGACATTCCGCGGCTGGCCAATCAGGAGCGAGCTGACGCATAATTGATCCACAAATTGCTCCACAGCCGGAGAAACTCAAGTTACACAGCGAGCTGACCCCAAAACAGTGATGGCCAGGGCCGTTTCTAGCTTTTTGGGGACCCTATGTAAGATGCTGTTTGGGGGCCCTAGTTTTGACAGTTTTTTAACTACAATGGGGGGATTCCGAAGCCTTTAAGATGATCTGTGGAGATGCATCAATCTGTTACACTTTAATAGGAAAACAGGCTAATTTCACGAAAACCAAGCAATTGAAAATTACAAAAAATGATATTAGAAAGGTAAACAATAAGGCTCCTCTATGTCAATAAATGCAAGAGATGCAGCATTTTCTCAACAATGTTTAATTTACATTTTTCATCTTCCTCAGACATCTGTTAGCCCAACAATGATTTGGACTTTATTATCCCAAAAACCCAAGCCACAGCTTTGCTATCATTGCAGTTTAGTCGTGTTTATATCCTACATTGGATTTGTAAGCATATAATGCTTCACCGAACACCACCGATGGACTGTCCACTTCAAGTAGGGAATGAGTCCTTACCCCAAGTGAAGGAGTTCAAGTATCTCGGGGTCTTGTTCTCGAGTGAGGGAACAATGGAGCGTGAGATGGGCCGGAGAATCGGAGCAGCGGGAGCGGTACTGCAGTCGCTTTACCGCACCGTTGTGACGAAAAGGGAGCTGAGCCAGAAGGCAAAGCTCTCTGTCTACCGGGCCATTTTCGTTCCTACCCTCACCTATGGTCATGAAGGATGGGTCATGACCGAAAGATCGCGGATACAAGCAGCCGAGATGGGTTTTCTCCGCAGGGTGGCTGGTGTCTCCCTTAGGGATAAGGTGAGAAGTTCGGTCATCAGGGAGGGACTCGGAGTTGAGCCGCTCCTCCTTCGCGTCGAAAGGAGCCAGTTGAGGTGGTTCGGGCACCTAGTTAGGATGCCACCTGGGCGCCTCCCTAGGGAGGTGTTCCAGGCACGTCCAGCTGGGAAGAGACCAAGGGGTAGACCTAGGACCAGGTGGAGGGATTATATCTCTTCGCTGGCCTGGGAGCGCCTTGGGACCCCCCAGTCAGAGCTGGTTGATGTCGCCAGGGAAAAGAAAGTTTGGGGCTCTCTGCTGGAACTGCTACCCCCGCGACCCGACCACGGATAAGCGGGAGAAGATGGATGGATGGATGGATGGATAATGCTTCACCGAACACACAGTGGCGAATGGTCATTAGGGGCAGGTGGGCCCCCACCAGTGTCAGCAGAAAGTATTACAAATAATGATTACCAAAAAATGCTAAAAATAAATAACAAAATATATAAAATATATTTTAAGATCATGGTTAATCATCTGATTCGTCTGTACATTGCTGTTTTAGTCTGTGTTCTTCTAATTAGTGTCTACAGTGTGTGCCTATTGAGCTGTTTAGAGCCATGTGGGACAAAACCTGATCCTGCCCCTCCCTCTCACTGTCTAAGTGAACAGTGACTATAAAAACTACCCTGCGCATGCTCAGAGTATTTTCCTATTTAATGTGTGTGGCAAAAAAATAATGACCACTGAGCTGCCATCCCCACCATACGTCATCTCACATAATTCAGAGCTGATTGGCTGTAAGTACGTGTGCCGCGAAAAGTGTGGTGTGTGAAGAGGAGGAGAGAGACGCGTCCTAAAACCCGGAAATAAACTGCGCATGGCGTCCCTCCACAAAAAAGCAATGATATTTCTCCATGGGATTTTAGAAAATAGCTCAAAATAAGATCTGTGGGAAACGTACCTGTTAGATAAATGCACGTTTTGTTCAGCCGGATAATATCCACATGTCTACCCTACTTTTATAATTTTCTAATCATAAATCTATCGATTAGATTTATGATAGACTTTTGAAACTACAAGAAGATAAGGAGGACTTTTACAAAAAAGTAATAGAGATTTTTGTCCAGAAGGATAGGCAGATGGACTTCATCTTCAGTGTTTCCCCTAGGTTTACTGCCTTGGCAGGGTGCTGCTCGGGTACCCCCCCAATTTTTTTTTTTTTAATGTTTTTTATCCTCTGGAGCAGAGAGAGGAGCTGTGGATTATTGTTATTGATATTGTACAGTAACAAAGTATTTGTACATTAGAAAGTAATAAAGTACAGTGTTACACTGTACTGTATTACTTTTAGTTTATTAAACTGTATTCCCTTCTTATCATGTAGCCTAAACTTCTTCCTTTCATTGATACATTTAAATCACCTGACTACAGCATATATCATACCTGCTGCAACCCTGTGCTGCTGCTGCTTCTCTCTTCCTCATCCTCTATTGCTGGAGGCAGCTCCACCTCATCTGATCTCTGATATGAAAGCAATCGTGTTATGATCATATTGAGCTATTGGTGTGAGTCTAACATTAAACAAGCAGTCTGCTTGTCATACATTGTTGACGATACATTTTAAGTGGCAATTTGTTGAGTCACTGCCGCTAAATGCCGGTAGCATCAAGCTAGCAAATCCTGCATTAGCCTCACATCAACAGGTGTAGACAGAACATCCAATTATCCTGAGAGAATTCACTGAATAAACCAACTCACATCTCCTGTCTTTTTTTTCACCCAACTCATTAGACTATTCTTCTGCTGGCATTTCATTGTTGTTTTCTGTCAAATTAAATAATTAAATAATGCAGATTTGTTTGACTTTTTTACACTTTGTTATTCTCCTCCTTTCCTCCGCTCTTGTCTCTGATTGTGAGTGTGTGCATTCGTGTGTGTGTGGGGGGGAGCACCGCCTCAGAAACAGAGAATGTGAATACGCAAAGCAGTGGACACTGAAACATGCACATACATTGGATAAATAACATAGGCGTTTAGTTTATTTAATAAAAGAGCAAATGTTCATGTGAAAAGTGACCGTAGATAGATAACTTCAGTTGCAATTTGGTGCTATATACATTTTTTTTTTTAATAAAAAAAACACCTTGAATTTCAGGCAGGGCGCGGGGCTCCGTTGGCAGGGCGCAGCGCTGCCAATCTATTAAAATGTGTTGAGATAGTACAGCTTAAAACAGTACTGATTATGCACAACATTTTCCATAAGAAAATGCCTAATAACATTCAAAAGCAGTTCCAAACCAGAGCGTGAACATATGAATGTAAAATAAGTCACTTGAAAATAAGTGTTCACAATGTTTATATGCAATTATGCATATATTATTATTATTATTATTATTATTATTATTCATTTGCCAAGTACAATACCTATGTACCTATGTATATATTTATATATAGTATTTTAATTTCCAAAAAAAGATAGTTGAAACTGCTATTGACATGTGCAGAAAATGATCCTATATCTAGTTTTCGTATATCTATATGCATTTATTGTTTTCCTGCCCTAACTTTTATTGAATTTTTTCTCCTGTTTTCTTTATTTCTTTGTACTCCTTCATTTCTATACGTTTTTTACGCAATAATGCCGCTGTATTAGGAAGATGCACGGGAGGGCTACTTTCCACAAGCTATGCTTCAGCCCTCCCGCTTCTACTAATTTTGTTCATCTTTGTGTGTATGAATTAAACTTTTTTTGTTTTTCGGATGAAAAAAAAAAATATATAACTTTCAGTTTGGGGGCCCCCTAGTGGCCCTATGCCCCCGCATAGTCCGCCTATAGGAAGAAACG